TCTTTACAGGAGGGAGGCCCTGCCCCACAGCCCTTCCTCCTTTGGCCACTAAGAGAGCAAATCCTGCACCAAGGGCTCAGAACACAACATTGACTCTGTTCGTGACCTACACACTCCTCAAAGGCTTCTGTGTTCAGCTTTTAAAACATTAGCTAATCACCTGCTGGGAAAGATGTGTTGTTATTTCTAAACAGTATACATGTGAATAATATATATATAATGAACTAACAAGAGCAAATTTATCAGTCATGTACTCAGTGATTGCTGAGCACTTAATGAATTTAGAATTTGTTTTTCCTGTTTCTGTAAGAATGCCATTGATATTTGGATGGAAATTGCATTAAATCTATAAATTACTCTGGACAGTACAGACATTTTAAATATATTCATTCTCCCAGTCCATAGATATACGTGGCGATTCCCTTGTGTGTACACATACCATCTGGAGTTTCTTTTATCAGTGTTTTGTAATTTTCACTATATGGCTTGTTTTACTTCTTTGGTTGAATTTCCTTCTAGGCTTTGGGGTTTGTTGCTGGCCCTGAACTGTTCGAGCCATCTTGCTGCCCGAGCATCCTATGGGCCTATGGGCTTGCACCCCCATACATGGCTTATTCCAAGGCATCTATCTTGTCTTCTTTCACTTTATTTTTGCTGCTGCTGTGAATAGACAGAATGCCTCTCGTGTCTTCTGAGTAAGTTCACTATGAGTGTATAAAATCTGACTGGCTTTTGTGTTGGATTATGAAGGATTTCACTTCACTTTAGTTTCATTGAATTCCTTTATCTGTGTCTTTTGGTAAAGTTTTGATTTTTTTTAAAAAATCTATATATCATGTCATTTCATAGCAGGTCATTTGGTTTCTTTTCTTATTTGTATACTTTTGATTTCTTTTATTTGATGCCTCATCCCATTCAAAATTGCTATCCCCCAAAATAGTAAGTGTTGACTGGCAAGAGTGAGGAGTAGAATGTGGGTACTGCTGGTGGGAACATAGATCAGTACAGACATCCTAGCGTCAGAGGTCAGAAAAACAAACAAACAAACAAACAAACAAACAAACCAGAAAATCAGATTGACCAGGGAATCTAGCAGTCCTGCTCCTGGTTCTATAGAAAGAAAATGGCTAAACACATCCTACAAGCAGAGTTCAGCACTAGTACCAACTCTAGCTCAGATGTAGGGTCAACCTACATGTCATGAGAGAAGAAAAGCATGGTGTGTGTGCGTGTGTGTCTACACATGCACGTGTAGGTGTAATACAATACGTTCTACTCCAAGACTGAAATTCTGTCATCTGTGCGGGATAGACACGGTTGGAGGTGGTGAAATCAGCCACACAGAAAAGCAAGGAGCTCTCACACATGGACATACTAGCCTCATAGTAGACAAGAATGAAGAGTAATTCCTGGAAGGTAGGAGAGGGAGAGGAGAAGAGGAGTTGAAAGATGTTGATAACAGGCACCAAGACACAGTTAGATAGAAGGAGTGAGTTCCGGTGCAGCGCAGTACCTCAGGAGGAGAACCAGATCACTGAAGTGCAGGAACTCAAAGGTTCCACATACGGGCACAGAGAGATGACGCAGAGGCTGGCTGCTCTTGCAGAGGACCTGGGCTTCATTCCCAGGACCCATAAGGCATCTCACAACCATCTCTAACTCCAGTTCCAGAGCACCAGATGCCCTCTTTGGTCTCCATAGGCACTGCATACATGTGGCAAACATGCAAACCAAACACCCACATACATAAAATAAAAATAAATGTTTACAAAAAGGTTCCATATAGACAAGTGATAGGATGGAAAGCGAGTTGCCTTGTTTGATAAAAACACACTGCATACCTGCACCGAAATATCAGCACACTGTCCCACAAATACATGCAGTTATTATGTGTTAATTTTAAGGAGATACATACAGATACACATAATTGCAATAATTACTGTGCTCAGGGAAAGCCTGGGGAACGACAGCAGGTCCTTACGGGACAGCTGAGGAAGAACATTCTAGGCGAGCTTAGCAAGGATAAGGGTGAAGACGTGAGAAGAAATGGCAACACGTTTTGAGGGCAGTCAGTAACAGGAAGTCAGCGTCCAGTGAGACTGGGCCGGATCAGATCAAACTTCCAAACTGAACTGTCATTATGGCTAGACAATATACTCCAAACTAAATAGTGTTTTTCTTCTGGGAGGAAGGACCAGATGGATAGTGCCTCCACCCTGATTCCTTGGAACCGTAAAAGTCAGGTGAGCCACCCTGACCCTGAGACGCACCCATATGTATGCATGCCGTCTTTACACTATCTCTTCTGGATGGTGGCGGGAAGGTGGCTCAAGGACTATGGGTCAGGGTAGAACTTTCTAGGTGGTGTAAGTAGCCAGGATTAAAATGGGACTCATGGCCCCCACTGCAGCAAAGTTGTGAGGGAAAAGTAGGTCTTCAGCTGGCTGTATTGCCACACTGAAATCTCCAAAGTTCTGTCAGAGAGAGGCACAGATCTGGACTTAGAAACAAAAGTTTTTCCCATAGGCTAGGAGGCCATCAGCCTCTTTAAGTGTCGACAAGAGGCAGGCATGTAGGACTAAGCTGTGGAGAGACTGGGGGATTTAGTAAAAAGCCATGTCTAGCAAGACGGCTCTCCTTTCCATAGTACAGCCAAATTCTGACAAATTCTGCGTCTCTCTCCTGAGAATGGAAACCCAGTTTAAACGCACCTCTCCATTCAAAAAGTGTTTCAAATTAATTGTTCTAGTATAAGAATAGCCGCACAAACCACTCAGAATCCGGTCTCAGACATGGATGGTTTATTGGACCACCTTTTCCAAGCTGATCAATCAGGGCCACAGTAAGAACACAGGAGCCTAACTGTGATGGGTTCAAGTTCTCACAGCAGGGTTTTTATAGAAAGAACCAGATGCAAAAGACATGGGGAGGGCAGTAACACATTTTGGCTAACTAGACAAAGTGCTATGAGCTAACCTTTAAGCTGATTGGCCCTAAGTGAGGTAAGTGAGGCAGGGCTTAGGGGCTTCTAGAGAACATCCAAAGTGTAACCAGTTGTGTAGATAAGAAGGGCGCAACCAGAGTGTAGCCAAGTGAATAGATAATGAAGCATGAGGTATAGCATTATTGAATCATGTAAAATATAAGGTCAGCTTGACCCTCTGGCTGGGCTGCTAGTGCCAGCTATGAACAACCTCTTTCCAGGAAGCAGAGATGAAAAGTTTTAAAATTTTGAACTTAAATTCACCTTAGGAAAAGAAAAATGGGAGCTGAACACAAAGATGGCTGCAGCTTTGTCTCAAATAGCAGGCTTATAACATTAGTGTCTGAGGTCAGTCCACAAGCATTTAGTCAGAGTTTGAGTCTCCTGTAAATCAGTATGGAGACTGGACTGAAGAACCAGACCACAGAGACCTTGGAATATGCACGGGAGTGGGAGGGGGGGGCAGAGTGGGGAGAAGTGGGGCAGGGCGGGGCAGCTGGAGAACAGTTAAGAGTTACACTTGAGGGTGTCAAGGCGGCTCAGCTGGAACTAGCACCAGCTGCCAAGCCGGCCAACTCAAGCTTGATTGGCAGAGCCCATGTGAAACAGCAGTGTTACCTACAACCCCAGAGTGCCTATGAGACAAGACACAGAACTGAACAGAAACTCGAAGGCCAGCTAGCCGGGAGTACACAGCACAGCAAAAATAAAAAGAGACCCTGCCTCAGAGACAGAGGGAGAGAACTGACTCCCTCAAATTGTGTCTTGACCTACACACACACACACCCTCCACAGTATTCATATTGAATAGATGAATTCTAAAAAGAATGTTTTTAAAGATGTGTTTGGGGGTTGAGGATGGTGTAGATTGGCAGTACGACACGCTTGCCTGGGTTAGGGTGCAGCTTGGTGCACAGTGTGCTTGCCTGGCTGAGCTCAATCCCTGCACACCCCAAAAAACCTGCGCTTGGGACTTTCAATATAGAATCTATTGATCCCTGGCTGTATGACTTTGGACAAATCACTCGCTTCTCTGTGCCTCAGTTTCCCCCTGTATAAAATCCTAAGGATAACTACAGTATTTTCATCAGTACTTTTTAGAGAATCTGCTTTCGGGTCATAGTGATGAACATAGCCACACACTAGAGGACTTGGTGGCTCGAGGGGTAGAGACTGAGGATGGCAAATTAGTCCCCATCTCACTTGGTGGCTTAATTTACATACAGTACCTAGGATCGGGGCTGATGTATGCCATAGGTGCTCTGGGTACCAATCAGCACCATTTGAGTACTGAGCTTGGATTTGTGTTTGTAACCTGATGTTACCCAGTGCTTACATAGTGTACTCTCCACCGTCTGAGGTGCTGCTGAAGCTCCTGAGGCCATTGCTCACAAGCACAGTGACAGAAGCCTGTGCTAACACAGAACAGCCCTTCATATACTCAAAAGTACACTGAGACTTCTCGGAGGTATGTGTGTGTGGTAGAGCATCCATTCCTAGGCCTGAGAATCTGTCAGTATCTAGCAATCCAATACAGTAAACTGAGGCTACACTGGCCAGAGGAAAACCCAATGAGTGGAAGGGGTCCCTTGCCTTCCCCTGATATCTCCAGCGCGACCCCTTCATTACACCTATAACTGTCTATCAGCATTTCCACTAATGTGGAGGGGAAAACACAGACCTGGGCTTTCATGGAAAACGTTCTGACTCTCACAACCAGAATTCCTGCCTTTACGGGGGGGGGGGGGGTTAGAGTAGATCTTTAACTTTTCCTTTAGTATTTCAGAACCCAACTATTAGAAAAGCATCTTTTCTGGGGAATGGTATTTCCTGGCACAAGATGCTCCTTGTCAAGTGACTCAGACTGATTTTTTTTCAATATCAATTGGCCCCAACTTACAGAGAAAAAGTGGGCACTGGGTATCAGTTTGATGTCAGGGTTTTTCCCCGTTTGAAGAGCTTTAAATATGGCTAGTCTGGAAGGTGCTGGTAGACTGAGCTCCAGACTCCTGTCAGGATGATGGTGGCATCCATCCTTGCCTTCGCCCTGCTCTTCGGTTCCATGCTGGGCCAGAGATGCAATACCAGGTTGGGTGTCATAAATACCAATTTCCTCATCGAGAAGCTCAAGGTAGGTTTTCGGGGCTGCGGGGAGCTGGCACTTGTGTGAACCATCCCCTGGAGGATGACAGAGGGCTCTTCGCTCACTGTGGGTTATCTCTTTGCCTCCTGTAGAACGACCCACCCTCAAAATGCAGCTGCAGTGGCAATGTGAGTGAACCATCCTCAGAACCTTCCAAACCTGTCTCAATGTTCACAGGTAGAATGCTCATGCTGAGATTTCTCTCTTGCAGGTGACTGACTGCGTGTGCCCTTCCATCCCGTCTGTAAGTATGGTCTGACACTGTTTAAGTTTTGAAGAAAGTGAACACAATTTACTTGACATTCTAAGATCTAAATTGTTGCTTAAGTGGAACTGTTGTAGTATAGGGCCCCACCTTTAAAACCTATATACTTAGATGTACATTATGCACACATCTATGTGGTTAAGTTAGCTTCATGGACCTTGAGAACTTTGGACATTTTTCAAAGTCTAAAGATTATTGACTGACTTCTGAGATAAGTGGCCATGTGCAAAATGACAAAAACGAATATTGCTTTCTGATTCATCTGCTGATGGCTGCAGGTTTGTAAAACAAACCAAATAGCATCAGGAATTGACTATCCAGAGGTCACACACACACCTCCTTTCTCTAGCTTCTTCCTACTCTGCCTCTACCCCTTCCTCATTTCTTCCTCTTCCTCTTCCTCCATCTCCCTGCCTGTCAAATGGTTCCGACTGTCCTCTGGGAAGATAATATCTAAGTTTGGTGCTGGGGACTGAATGGGACCCTGAGAAGGCACCTCCCACCCTGAGAGTGAGGGAAGGGCAGGGGGACTCCGGGTCTCTTCTAACTCCTGCTTGGAATGAGGGTGTAGTCATCCAGGCCTGCAGCCACTGCAGGACTCACTCTTCAAGCTGGACCTGGGAGGAAAGCTGAGCTTGGAATCCTGCAGAAGCTGGAAGCCCTGCCCTTTGGGGGCTGTGGTTAGGGAGTCTGTCCCCTCCCTTCACATTGCAGGATCACAGCTTGTCTGAAACATGAGCCCAGAGCAATGACATGTCACATCAGCTGGGGTGAGAAAATGCTTTCCCTTTCTCTGTCCTTTCAAACTCACAGCCACTGGACCTGGACAGGGCCACCAGGACCATGGCAGATGCAGCATTGTCTTTGCAAGGGCATCAGGCCCACACTTCCTGGATGGAATCTCCTCCAGGAATGTCACTGGGAAAATAACCTCAGCTTGAACTACTTAACGTCATTTCCTAGAGTGACAAGGAGCAAATCCAAAAATAGCATGACTTTGGCTAACATTGGTTAAATTAAGTTGTGATTTGTTCTCAAAGCAGTCCTAGATAGCTTTTATAACCCCTTTCCATGACTCCTTGTCATTTACTAGGATGATTGTGCCACACCGTGCTTCCAGGAAGGACTGTCACAGGTGATCAATGCCACACAGAGAACAGAACTCTTGATTACTTTCTATCAAGTGAAAAAGACGGTTGAAACCCTAAAGAATAGCAAGTGTCCGGTGAGTTTTGTGTTCACATGTGACAAGTGATTTCTGAGTGGATGCTGTCCCCAAAGGAGGAGGGCCTTTGGGTCAGAGCCTGAGGCAGAGAAAGGAGGACTAGGTAGGCTCTGGGTAGAAGGTGGGAGTTAAGAAATTTAACCAGAAACAGTATCACTGAAGTGGGATCTGCCCCATAGTCTGTCTGTACTCTCCCTGGTTAAATGGAAACTGCTGACACTTGGTGTGTGTGTGTGTGTGTATGTATGTACAGACTTCTGGAATCCTGACCCCAAATCAACCCCTATACAGACTTGCCAGATGCCAGCTAGCTCAGGATCACCCTGATTATTTTCCCCAGCTTTCACTCCTCTTCCCTTCCCATCAACTGGTCCCCGGGTCTGCAGGAAGATGGGCCTGGAGCTGCTGGGTGTCCACCGCTGCAGTTGGTCACTCTGTCTTGTCCTCGTCTCTCTCTGCAGCTTTTTTCCTGTGAAAAGCCGTGCAACCAGACCACAGCAGGCAACACACTGACATTTCTGAAGAGTCTCCGGAAGACGTTCCAGAAGACGCAGATGGGAGTGCCGAAAAAATGATCATGAAGATGAATGTTATTTATTCTATTTATTGAATAATTTACAAAACCGTTCCTCTTTAATTGTTACAGCAAAGGAATAAACTCAGCTGTTCTAGATCAAAACCGGTTGTGCCCCTCCTTTTTTTTTTTTTGTCACATTCACTTTTGGAATTAAAGCTTCCCAGGGAAGGATCAATGCAAGCAGTCTCCAGGCGCCTTCTCTTTGCTTTTTCATTCCCGCTGCTCAGAACAAATAAGGCCCCCAACTTTTCATAGGTAGAATGGATCAAATACCTGGTAATAAACAGATTCATGAGCCTGAGCCCCAATGGGTGGGTCTGTAGGTGCACAACTATGTAGGGATAATCTGAAAGACGAGAGCAACGAAGGCTAAGAGCAGCCTGAGGGAGGCATGGGGCACTGCCAAATTACCAAGGGGTTTGCTCCTATGAGACAGACTGTGGCCCCAGATTGGAAAGGAGCACTGTTTGGTGAGTCTGAGAGCCAAGAGATTGCTTAGGAATGTGAGTGTGGGGGCTGGAAAGATGCACCAGGGGTCATGAGCACTTGCTGTTTTCCCCAGAGGACTCATGTTCAGTTCCCAGCACCTTGGTCGGGAGGGTCACGACCATCTGTAACTCTAGCTCCAGGGGCTCTGATGCCCATGACCTCCAAGGACACCTGTAGTCAGGTGTACATGCCCACATGCAGGCAAACACATCTACATACAATTTAACAAACAAGAATAAACGTGGGCACCATTTATAGAAGCACGTAAGGGCTGGCACCAGGCTTGGGGCTGAGTCACAGAGTAAGGCCTTCGGGTAAGAGCTTGAGGCAGAGAGGTATGGTATCTACATGGTCTGCTCACCTGGAAACTGTCCCAGGAGCACCCACCATCAGCCAGCAAAGCCTAATGTGCAGGCCCTGGGAGATCCCTGAGTCACACTGCATGGCTGGTAGTGTGGCTGTAGCCGTTTCCCCTCACCCTAACCCTCCACACGGCCCACCCCAGTGCCCGCTCCTGGTGTCTAGATGAAGATGGGAATGCTCACGGCCTCCTAAGCACGCCTGCCTGCCTGTCCAGATCATGTGCCAGCTCTCCAGGGACCAACCTTGCTCACTCTTGTGCTAGTACCGAGCCACCATGGAGCAGGCAGCGTGTGAATATGGTGTGAATGGATGAATGGTCTCCAAAGCATAAGGGCACAATTGGAAATGAGTCAAGAATATGGATGCCTGGCGGATAGATTGGACCCAGAACATTCTGTGGGTGTCTTTGCAACATCTCCAGGCAGGTCAAGGGTCAGTTTTATTCTACCTGCCTAGGATGCCTACCTTGGCCTTCCCTTTGGCCCCTTCAGCCTTGACTGATGGGCTGGCAGACACAAGATCAAAGGTAGGGTGAGTCTTTGTCCCTCTCCCCTTCCATCTGCTGGTACAGAGGTGTGTTTATGTGTTTTCGGGGGTGGGGGTGGGGGGGGCAGAACCCCGGCTTCCATCTGCACACTCCCACCTCTTCACAGTGAGCTCATTGAATAGAGTGTGTGTGTGTGTGTGTCTGTCTCATGCCGGACTCCTGTCTGGCCTGTGGATCTCCCAAAGCAAGGAGCCTTTCTCCACCCTTTCCAAACTTACCGCTCAAAGTGTGGCACACAGGGGGTGCCAAGGAAGTGGCACACATTCAGGATAATCCTTAGATTAAGTTCTTAACATCAGGCATTGTTTCCGTCTGTACTGGGAGGCAGAACTCCCTCCAAAGGGAAGGGTTGATAGGGAGTAGATACTAGTATTTCTTTTTTATGAGCAAGAAAGTGGAAGTTTTTCTAGGTTTGGAGATGTTCCCAAGATCCCTCAGCTGGTGAAAACCTAGAGCAGAGAGCCACTTCCAGCTGACTCTGCTTGCCAACCCGTCCCACTGCCCAACCCAGTCTGCCGTTCTTCTGTTTACATAAGATTTCTATACTGCTTCCTCTGACCATTTGACCTGAGGGTCAAAGGAGTTCACTACAGCCCCAGTGCACACTCATTTATCCAGACAGCAAGGGTCAGGCAGGGTTCAGATTTCAAGCTCTTTAGCCCTTTCAAAAGTTAACGCACAACTCATGTGCCACGTGTTACATAACAGCCATAGCAGGACCTGGGGCGAAATTCTGTAATTAAACTCATCATTCTCAGCAAAACCCAAGAACATTTGCACGGAATAGGTCAAGGTTGACAGGCCACCAAGTCACAACAACCTGGAGTCGGCTGAGCTATTTGGGTTTCAGGATGCTGATAAGGGACTGGAGAGCTGCGAGAACAAAACAGCTCTGCTCCAGCTTGGGGCTTGCTTACACTCTGCCTGGCTCTGGGTCATCTCCAGGAGGAATGGAGGTTTCTACGGCTGCCCGGCTGACTGGCATGGCAACCACGGGAGTTTTCCCCTGCATCTGGGTTTTCTGAGTCAGATTACTCACTGTGGTTTGCTGGCTGTACTCACAAAGAATCAAAGGCAGGGGCGCTGCGATGGTCTCAGAACTCAACCCCACAACACAAGCTAGTGCTAGAGGGGAGGGACCCAGCAATATAAACTGAAGTTCTTTGTCACATCAAAACCACCTGCCAGCTTGGTGCTTTCCCTTGGCTTATCAACCCTGCAAACAGACTCTGAGGAGGGCTCACCTGGGGTGAGGAGTGCTCACCTGGAGTGAGGAGAGCTCAGCTGGAGTGAGGAGGATCTCCTGGAGTGAGGAGGATCACCTGGAGGGAGGAGGGATCACCTGGAGGGAGGAGGGATCACCTGAAGTGAGGAGGGCTCAGCTGGAATGAGAAGGGCTCAGCTGCAGTGAGAAGGGCTCAGCTGGAGTGAGGAGGGATCACCTAGAGGGAGGAGGATCACCTGGAGGGAGGAGGATCACCTGAAGTGAGGAGGATCACCTGGAGGGAGGAGGGATCACCTGAAGTGAGGAGGGTCACCTGGAGGGAGGAGGATCATCTGGAGTAAGGAGGGCTCAGCTGGAGGGAGGTGAGCTGTACATTGAGAGCTGAACTCTATCAAGAAGCACCTTAGAGAAAGGCATTTATTTCGAGTTTGCTGTGTACCAGGCAGTACTAGGTGTGACTTCTGGGCTAGTGAGTTGACCCCTCACATTGATTGAGCTCATGAGATATTCACCAGCAGATGTGAATATTTCTCTGAGATGGTAACTCTCACTGTGTAAAGGCCCACTGTATGAGGCCCAGAAGCCCAGTGTTCAAATGGACAAGAGGACTGCCCTGTGCAGAAGGCGAAGGCTCAGGCAGATTTGCTCCACCCCAGAGGATAAGAGAGGGGCTCCTTGGAGAAGTGTGTTCCTGTATCACCGCCTCAGGATCCAAAGTCACCGCCAAGGAAAGAAGAGGAGCATCTTGTGTTGAACATTTCACTTGGAATTTCCAATTTTTCCCCAGAAGTGGCAAAATCACTCCCCGAACTTCATCCTGCATCTACTGGGTAGGATAGAGGCTTGGTGGGGGATGGAACAGTGGGACCTGGCAGAGAGAGTGGAATGACACCTAAATTTAGGTAGAAAACAAACAAATCAAGTCACACCTGAGCCCTGGACACCTGAGGACAAGGTTTGCTGACTCAACAGCCATGATGTAAGCACGCAGACGCCAGCTCAGCCGACAGTGAGATGCTGTGAGGCCGGAAGGTAGAAGGATCCTGATGGTTTTTAAGACTCAGAACTGAACCCAGTGGCCTCTCTCCATGCTCAGGGGAATGGAGTCTAGTGGGCCCTCTCTCTGCTCAGCCAGGAGCCGGAAGCTGGAAGTCATGCCTCTCTGGATGTCTAGCTTTCACTGCTGGATTACCTGCTTCTGGAATCTTCTTTGACATGAGTTTAGCAGAGAGGATTCTGACAGTCAGTGGGCGCTGACTGTGTCATGTGTCCTGAGTATGTAAATATCCATTCAGTGTGTGCATCTATCCCACTCAAGGCCTGTTTACACGCTGTTCACATGAAGGCACACAGGAGCAGCTATGGTTCTCAGGGTTTTGCAAGGACCAGGCCCAGGAAACACAGACACACCCACCCTTTTTGAACCTTCCAACAGAAGCTAAACTACCCACAATCAGGGAGGAAGGCTGCGGGCATTTACAGATGTGGAAAACAAGGCCTCTCAGAAGCCAGCTAGAGGTATGTGACTCAGAAATAACCAAGGGGCTTTCAGTGTTTTTATTTGGAAGCGCAAGCCTATGCTGGGTTGCCAGGCGGGCTGACCATGTTGAGATTAAGCAGACAGCCACTGAGGCTGGAATCCAAGGGAAGGCACACAGGAACATGGAAAATCAAGAGACAGGAAAGGAAGGGCCAAGGACCACCACATAGTAGACTCCCTGGGGTTTAGTTGACCTCTGCTGCCATCAAGTGGCGATTCTGTGGAATATCAGCCAAAGAGGCTTTTTGAGGGAAGGTGTTTCTCGTTCTCAAGACTAATACTATCTTCACAGGACTCTAAGACACCACCTTCCTCTCCTTATTTTCTCATGTGTGCATCATGCTCTTTTCCAAGGAGTGCACAGCAAGTGATGTCATAGACAAGCAGAAGGGCCTCCAGCTGCTTCTTTTCATTCACTACAGAGGAGCGAACTCTGCCCAACCAGGAGACCTGGTTGACCTGGGAGAGCCTTGCTGGCCTCTGAACACACAAAGCTTCCAATCCAGCTTCTCAGCCAAGGCACGTACTAGAGCATGCCTGCCTGACATGTCCTGGGATGGAGAGAGGCACTCTGGGTCTACCTCGGCGTTCTCTAGCATGCCGGGAGCATCTCCTCACCAACAGTAGCTGCTGAGGTGAGGATGAAGGACCTCCTGGTCAACGGTCTAGCAAACTAGCACAAAAGCTCTGCTGGAGCGTCTCCACTCCTAACCTGAGACAGCACCTACGCACGGCGGGTGTTCGACAAACGTGTGAACAGGGGCCCCACAGCCATGGGCTCAGAGCTCCCACGGGACTGAGCCCCAAGAGCTGTTGGGGAGGGAGGATGGAGAAGAGCACCTGTGATCTACGCTGGGGAGAAGGACCATGTTGGCCTCTGGGGAGCAGCAGTGATCATTTTAAGAGCTTGGTCCAGATCGCACAGAGGTGGGAGGGGATAGAGGCAAACCAAGGACAATCCTTAAAGGTTTGTTTTTAACGTGCTGTGGAGACAGCTCAGCTCCCTTGCTGGGATCTAAGGTCACCCTGCATGGCACTTCTCGGCTGCTGGTGGCTGCCCAGGTGACCGTTCGGGCAGGATTCTGAAGTCACAGTGTGCTGAAAGGGTTTCTGTGATGGAGTAGGTGTGGCTGCTGCAGGTACAAAACTGGAAGTGACATCACGGACACATGCCACATATCAGCAATGCTGTCTCCTATGTGGTTCCCACCGGAGAGAAAACAGAAGCATAAAATCACACAGAGCGTGCATTTTATTATGGTTTCCACGTAAAAGTCAGGGCCACACAACACCCACCTCCTGCAAACTGAGACTGCCATCTGCCACTCATGACACCAACAAGTGACACTGCTCAGGCTTTTGAGAGAATCTTTGGCTTCTTCTTTGTGTTTCTGTCCAGACACTGTGCCCTCCCTTCCTACCCCAAGGGCCAGGGAGAAAATACACTACTCCCTTAGTTCGGCTGGTTTCTCTCTGGGCAGGTAGCATCTCCACAGACCGAAACTGAGTAGAGAGGAGTGTGACCAAGGCCTCTCAGAAGCCAGGTAGAGGTGTGTGACACAGAAACTACCCAAGGGGCTTTCAGTGTTTTTGTTTAGAAGGGCAGGTCTATGTTGGGTTTTCACCACCGATGGGCCCAGAATGGTTTGCCTGTTTTTCACAGGTTCTAATCCAGAGCTGAAAGAGATGCTGACTGCCTCATCTATGGTCTGCTGCCTCCTTCCAGCACTTGGACTGGGGAGAGAAAGAGTCTGCAATCATGAAGGAAGTGACTCCAAGCTCAGTGTGCTGGCTGTGGCCCACCTGGCACACAACAGGAACGGCGGGGTCACCCTTCTCTCCAATAAGTCACTCACAATCATCGCTCGTTCTACAGGTACTGCAGGCTCAGCTGGAGGTGGGATGAGGCCTGGTCAGATGACAGTGTCCCTGAGAAGAGGGGAGGGGGAGCTTTGTAAAGAGTCCTTTTTGGAGTTGTGGTTGTGGCCAGCAGGATCTAGGCTCAAGCAACCCACATGGACACGGTTCTTGTGCCACAGAGACAGGGCAGGGACACACTGTATCCAGTCAGCATGGCCATCCGGGATTGTTTTGAAATGTTCAAACAAGGAGGTGTCACGGGAGGAACACACGTCCTTTCCTTGGCTATGAAGCCCCCGGTGAAGAGGAGGTGGGCTCCCAAGTCTGCAGCATGCACACCAGACAGAATATAGAATAGGCACTATTCTAGGAAGGCTCTGGTACCAGGATCCTGACACAGGGCAGGGGCTGATGACACAGGAGGGGTCATGAGCAAGCCAGAGAACTGCCTGCGACCCTCTTTCTCAAACTATCCCCATCACAAAATAAGTACCCCCACAGTCCTCACTGAGCTTCCCTCTCTGCCATGAGCAGCCTGGAAGGAAACAGAACCAGGGATGGATGAGAAGGAAGGCATGTCTCCCTAGACTCTGGCGAGCTGTGTCCTCCATCCCATGCATACAATGCTTACTGGCCCTCCGGAGACAGTCACCATCCACCACTTCTTAGGGTCAGCAGTGTTCTGGGCTCATCGGAGAGACACTGTCTCCTCCATTCTCGGGGCTGGATGGGGACGGAGGCAATGCTGTGTGCACCTTCAGAGAGTTAACGTTTCTGCCACGTAGACCATAGCCTGCTCCAAACCTTTGCAAGTGAAAGCCCAGGCTTGCTAGAGGACCTCGTGTTCACAGTTCCTGGTCAGAGCAAGAAGTCAAACAGATGAGTGAGGTTTGTTTAAAATGACGCTGCAGGGATCACTCCCTCCCACCAGAGGGAGCCTCTTCCTTCTCCTCAACTCCACTGCCACTCCTAGAAGCTTTTTTGCTTGAGGAGACAGGTTTCCAAAGCCCCTTGCAAAGGAGAGGACATTGAGAAAGAAAAGCCTGCAGCTGGCTCAGCTACTGCTGTCAAACGCCGAATCTCGGACAGTGATGACTTGGTTCTCCAGAAACTTCCTCCAGCCTCCTTAAATAGCCAGTCCTCAGGGTGGCCAAGAATGGCATGGTGCCACCACGAACACAAGTGCCCAGTCACTCCGGGGTCTTGGTTCTTGGTTTGGAAGCCATGTTGTAGGTGGAGATTTAACCACGTGGGACATGGTTCTGGTCCATTAGGCAGGAAGGCAGCTGCACTGTGCAAAGTCCGCTCTGGGTTTAAGACCACAGTTGGACCTTATGGTGACTGCAGAAATTCTTGCTCTGTTCTTTCTGTAGTTTCTATGTTTTCCTGCAATATAAAAATGCATTGATTTGTTACAGAATTTAAACAAAATTATTTTTCCCTGCATGGACTGGGTTGGTGATGGCACGCACTCACCTTTAATCCCAGCCCTCAGGAGGCAAAGGCAGGTGAATCTCTGTGAGATGTAGGCCAGCCTGTTCTATAATGTGAGTCCAAGACAGCCAGAGCTACACAGAGAAAGCCTGTCTCAGAAAAAAACAAAAACAAAACAATACAAAACAACAACAACAAAAAAACAAAAACAAGAAAAAAAAGGCGGGGGGTGGGGGAATGATGGACTTGGGAGGGGCTGTTGTCTGATCAGCACAGTGTTAGGAACTATGTCCTTGCTCTGCCCTCCCTACCTTGTCTTGAACATCACCGAAATACAGGGAGGCCTCACCAAGAGCTTAATTTGTGAAACGTTAAGTTACTACCCTTTTCCTTGTATATAAAAGGCACAGGAAGCCAGAGACGATGTGAGTATGAGGATTCTAATAAAAGGCTGCAACGGTTTCTTTAAGACCAGCTTCTAGGTTCTCTGTGGTCAGCCTGACTGATGGCCCTCTCTGCCTCCTCTCTGCCTGCCCAGGATGTGGCACACTGTCTGTGCTTCCCAGCAGGCCCCGAAGCTCAGGGTCAGAGGCCTCGAGGCTCCCCTGATGGTGGCCATCCTCCTTGGGAGAATTGGCAGTCCTAGAGGCCAAGTGAAATGGCTCCTCAGCTGATGAGAATACCCAGTTTTGACCCCTCCACCTTCTGAGCTTGGCAGGGGACCAGTTTGAGACCAGAGAGGAGCAGCAGCGGGAGGGAAAAATACTGATGTCAGCCATTCTTCTTCCAGGGACAGTGCTGAGTCACCATCAGGGGAAGAGGGGGGAGCTGCTGTGCAGAGGCCTTCACTGGGAAGAGTGGAGGGGGACAGCAGGGACCCAGGGCGTCTTTCGAAAGTGGGCCACACCTCAGCTAAGAAGCCAACCTGTCATCCTGGAGGAGGAGACCTACAACTAGACCTGGAGGACAGAGAGCTGGAAACCCCAAGACCAAGAGGGAGTTGGTTCAAGGCATAGCAGGAACACAGACCCCAGGAGAGAGTGGGGGTAAAGTCAGGGATTGGGGAGAGAAAAGTGCTCGGGGGTGGGGGGACCTGGAGGAGGAGGTGACATCAAAGACTGACTCGCTTTAGAGTGAAGCAGGGAGCTGTTGAGAGCATTTGAGCAAACAGATGGATGCACAGAGCATTTGAGCAAGAAGTCAGATTAACAGATTGAGCAAGAAGTCAGATGCACAGATTGTTTGAGCTGGAAGTCAGATGCACAGAGCATTTGAGCAAGAAGTCAGATGCACAGTGCTACATTGATCCTTCCTCAGTGAGAATGGAAAGGGGAAGAGTGATTGTAGGAGGCAAGGGAGGGCCTGTCCTGTGGAGCTTTGCTAAGGAGGAGTGTGTTAAGCCTTGTAAGAAGCAAGGAGATGGCCCTGTGTAGGCCTGGGGTGGTCACTGGGGTCAGTACACTCAGATCTTAAGAAAGAGGCTAAAAGCACTTCTCTCCAAGGATGGCGGAAGCTGAGAATGGGGAAGACAACAGGCCAACTAGCTGTGAAATGTGGAGTTGTGGCCCAGCTCGGTCACTGGAGACCCAGCATACCACTGCCAAAACATGGCTGGTTCAGAACTGAGGTCTTTCTCCTCCTAAACATGCCACGGGGGACAGACAGGAATTTCAGAAGCTCACAACAGTTTTATGAGGAAAGACGTAGTCCCAGCTTCAACCTTAGCTGGGAAGGAAGCCCACTGACCTGGTGCTCACGTGCCTGTCACAGTGTGGTCGCCACGGAGTGCCTTCAGTGAGAGCTCATACCCAAGGAACATGGCTGCACTCATGGGGAAGCCGCGCACAGCATTCACAGTGATACCCCTGAAAAACACCTTTGTGCAGGGGTGGGGGTTATTCCAGGGTTAGCCCTCTGCAAACAGGAAATGACTGCAGGCCTGGCCTGACCAGAATCCAAAAGATCTATGGGTGGAAAGCCTCCGGCATGCCCCAGTGTGGTAGAGGACAGATCCAGGACACAGCATTGGTGGGTGTCAACATCTCCAGTTACACCCACCACGGAAGGGTGTTCCAGCAACAGCCCAGACAACGCTTCTTCAAGCTTCTCCGGGGACTCCCTGCACTGGTGGGCACCCCGTGACTGCTCATCACCTGTGGGGCTGAGGTGGCATGGCCTGAATGGAACAGCTGCTGCCTCTGCCTCTGTGGCAACCTTGTGCCTCCTCTCCCTAGGCAGTGCTATGACATGCCTCCCACGGGCTCCCCACTCCCCACGTCTTTCTGCTTGATACCATGTGGACCCAGGGAAACGTGGGCACCCTACAGCCTCTTAGATGAGATAAGCTCCCTCTGGAGCAATGGCAACCTTACCAGGCATGGACAGAAAAGGGTCTAGGGAGCTGCTCCTCAAGGTGTTCTCTAGAAACACAATCAAAAGGTAAGCCCTCTCCCATGCACTGTCGGAGGGAGAGCTGTCAGGACAGGAAGCAAAACTTCTCTCACACAGAATCATTTTAAAGTTTAAGGCATAGAGTTTTCAGCAAGAGGCAACCAGCCTGAGCACATGTCCAGTTCCAAGGGCCACTGGCAGACACAGGACACAGCTTGGCTTAGGAGAGGAGTTCATGGACCAAGTGCTGGAGCCACTTGGGCAGACCCACGTGGGACCTGGGTAATACCAGTGCTCCTTTCCAATGCCTAACCATATTGGAATTCCTCAGGCTCACCCAGAGTGACTGAGTCGTAGCAAGGAACTGAGTCCAGCTCCAAGGGGAAAATTCCATGCTGGGTGCCCACACTGCCTGTAACCTTGGCTTGACTCTGCTCTGAGACAGAGCCAGGTGGGCTTGGCCCTGGAGCACACAGCCTCCTGGCCCAGAAAACAACATTCAGGACTTTGGGGCCAAGACCCCCCTCCTGAAGCCTCCACAGCTCCCTACTGAATGGGGCATGTCTGCACTGCTCCCTGGCCTGTGCTGACCCTCCTGCCCCAGCCTTGTACTCTCTCTGATGGACTTTTCCATCTGTCCCTCTGGGCCATCTCTGGTCCCCTCTGCTGCTCTGCTGCTCTAGACACCTGTTTGTAGCCTCTGTCCATCCAACCAAGGCTGCCGCAGAGTGGACAATTAATCACAGAATGCCCTCACTGTTCCCCATGGTCCAGGACTCAGGAGTCCCTGACAGGGCAGGAAGCAGTCTGCGGGTATGTTTCCCTTGGTCTCAGTACTCACAGGTTCTTGGCCCTGAGTAGTCCTTCCATAAATACCTGTCAAATGAGTCCCTGAAGGACAAGCACGTGAATGAATGACAGAAGACCACCCTGTGCTGAGGGAGTGCGGGTGGTGGTAGCTGTGGGGGTATGGCAGGGTTAGGACTTCATACCCCTAAAGGGCAAGGCCACCAGGCAGCTGATGCTGGCCCCTCAGGAATCTTGACTCTCCAGCCCTGAGCCAGCCTCATCACACCATCAAGGCTCAACTCTAGTCTATCGAGTTCAGAGAATAATCACTCTTTCAGGGGCCATAGCTATTATGGCCCAAGACAACCCTCAGCATGAGCAGAGATTAGGACCAAAGCACTAGGTGCTGCTTTAGCTTTAGTCTGCTGGTAACAGGTTCCTGAACCATGGGCTTCTGGGTTTCCCCTATCCCAGCAACCCTTGAGTTATGAAGGTCTACCTGCCAGCAGCGTCACGAGTCCTCTCTGAGTCCCTGCTATTAATGAGTTCCCCTTCCGTGGAAAGGTGAGCATGGGTATGATGACAGAATGTGTAGGATTTTCATGAGCCACACACAGGATGTTCTAGGAGTTATTCTCCAGGGAGGAGAGCCCACGTCATGGGGACCGCACTCTTGGTCCTGGATGAAGAAACTTCCCACGTTGTGGTTGGAAAGCTCGAGACAGCCGGTGAGGTATTGCTTGTGTATGCTGCTGCTGTTTCAACGTGAAATGCTCACACATGTGAGCACACAGACATCTACTCACTTGCCTGTTTGTGAGTGCACTGCCTGTTTGGGGAATATGTCATAAGAAACTCAAATTGGTAGCTGCTTTTGAAAGAATGGGGTGAGAGGTGGGACTCTGAGGCCTGTGTCCTCTTGCATGTTTGGAAGCTTCCTGCTTTCATGCGGCGCTGACTTTTCCATCAACTAGTACACAATTTAAAGATTAATGTGATACACTGATACTCCAACCAAGGACCATCCATGGAGATAACCTAGAATCCCTGCACAGATATAGCCTGTGGCAGCTCAGTCTCCAAGTGGGTTCCCTAGCAATGGGAACAGGGTCTGTCTCTGACATGAATTCAGGGGCTGGCTCTTTGATCACCTCCTCCTGAGTGAGGAGCAGCCTTGCCAGGCCACAGAGGAAGACAATACAGCCAGTCCTGATGAGACCTGATAGGTTAGGGTCAGATGGAAGGGGAGGAGGACCTCCCCTATCAGTGGACTTGGGGAGGGGAATGGGAGGAGATGAGGGAGGGAGGGGTTGAGAGGGGACAAGGGAGGGGGCCACAGCTGGGATACAAAGTGAATAAATTGTAATAAATAAAAATAAAAAAAGAAATCAATGATCAACTGCAAAGCACAGTTTCATTACCTTAAAAAAAAAAAAAAAGATTAATATTTGGGTTGGTGAAGTGCTTCATCAACCGAGCACTGTGTTGTATTTAATGAGGCTCGATTCTTGGCACCACAAAAAGCAAATAAAGCCTGTCTCTGAATAAACACCATTGAGGTTAAGAAAGCAATGGCCCAGCCTCGGCTGCCCCGGGGCTTTGTGTCTGTGGAGTACAGCAATTAGGGGGTAGGGATGGAGTGGGGTATGTAATATCAGCAACCTCTTCAGCCCCTACAGATTTTTCTTTAATGATGACACTTTAAATTGGGAAAAATGACAAAGAAACTCAAATAAAAAGACAGCATCCCACTTGAATCTCTTTAAGACCCGTAATTGCTTATGGAATCACAAGCTGATGGAAAAAAAAATGAAAGAAAAAAAAAATTTAGTTTGTGCCTGAGTGGCACTCTCTGTCACTGGCTGCCGTTAAATACAACAAGAATTAAAATAATGAAGACAGCAAAGCTCCAAGACTATCTGTCCTTAAAGACAAAAAGCTCTCCTGAGCCTCATACTGCACGGTGGACAGTTGTCAATGCCTGGCCTTTCTCCTGTGCGGATCTCCACAGGCGATGCTGCCTCCAGCTGCTGTGATGCGCTCAGGGCAGAGCTTGGGCCTCCCCATCCTCTCCTACACTTCTGCCCCTTCCACTGCTGGCTTGAGGCAGATGGGCTTCATCAGAGTGTGGGCTTTTTTCTCTGTGTTTACTGCTGTGTCCCCAACTCATAAAACTGCACCTGACTTAGCCCAATGTTCTAAGGCAAATTAATAGTGTACTTGTGAAAATGAAACCCCTCAGGTGTTTTCTCCAGGACCTTTTGCCAAATTCAATGGTAACTAACTCTTTGCTGCTAAGGGCTCCATGTGAAATTGACTGTGGCAGTTCTGCCTCTGGAGGAGGGTCTTGGTCTAGATGAAGGGGAGGTGTGTCTTCTGGGTCTTGCACCCTTTCATTCAGCATGTTAGTTCTGGATCTTCCTTGATCAGGGGAGGGAATGGAACGAGCAACTTCTCCAAGAGGAGAAGAAGCAATAGAGAAAGCATGGCAGAGCTGTAGAGAAGCAAGCACTGGTGTGTGCACAGGAGCACAGTGGCCGCCGGGAAGAGCTCTGCCAGGCCTAGAGAGATGGTTGGAACCATCTGGCAGGACCTGGGGAGAGGCAACACATGGGCACAGGCCCAGGCCCTGTGGCAACATGCATGAATCAAACTACACAGGGAAAGCAGCTTCAGGGTGAGGTGTGGGCTGGCAGCTGCCTCTGCGTGTCCTTAGGAAGGAGAAAGAACAAACAAAATAGACTCTATTCCAAACAAGAAAGAGGAAGAGCCTTGCAAGTCCACAAATTGGGTGAGAGGTTACCTGGAAACTGGTAAAAAGACAGGTGATACACAGAAGAGAAGGAACCAGAAAAGAGAGCATTAGCCTTGCAGCTCACAGAAGGGGAAGGGAAGCTGAAGGCCCTACTCAAAGGTGAGCAGGTGAGCGAGGCAGGCAGACCCTCAGCAAATGCCCCAGCACTTACAAACCTCAAACCCAGCTACAGGTTTAGGGGAGGTAGTGATTCCTCTGGACAGGTCAGAGGAGACAAATTTCATTCCTGTCATGCTACTACTATAACTGAGAGGACAGTGCCTGGGTATCATCTGAAGAAAGGCTACTATTAAAAACCTGAACTAGCAAGGCTAGAGAGAGCTGAGCTGAACTGGCTCAGCAGGTAAGAACACTTGCTGCTCTTTCAGAGGACCAGAGTTCAGTTTCCAGCACCCGCATCAAATGGTTCACAACTCTCTGTAACTTCAGCTCCAGGGTATCAGATAACCATTCCCTAAACCCCAAGGGTGCTTGTCCTCAAATGTGCACATGCACCTCCCCAACCAGACATATACACATAATTAAAGCAAAAAGAGCTGAGCTAGCCCTGGGACCTAAGATACAGGGACATGCACAGGAGAGGAAGCCTCAGTTCATTGCTCTGCCTTAGCCTCGGGATTAGGAAAGGACACGGAGGTAGTTATGGTGAGCCAGAAAGCTCAGGGTAACAGGAGCCTCGGCTCAAACAGGGGAGTGTTTAAGCCCTCAGTGGTGGCTGAAAGCAGATCTTAACTGATAACAGCCCTACAGCAGAGGTCAGTGAATGGCTCAATTCCTAGAGTCACCTGTCTGCATTAGAAGCTCCTTCCGTGTACTGGACCCACAGCTGTATTAATATACAGCAGGTGGCTAAGACCCAGGAGGCCTCGAAACTACACAGACAGGTCCTCCACCTACTCGGGTGCTCTGTTTGCTTACTATACTGCCAACACACTTGAAAGAATCCATCATGTCCAACATAGCAATCCAGCAAACCCCCATTACTAAAAGGGAAGACAGAAAAGAACAGACAATAACCCAACCAGTCAGAAAAATAACAACAGAAATGGCAGGAATTTATAAACTCCTCTCAGTGATAACCTTAAATATAAATGCCATCAGCTATTGAATAAAGAGACTCAGAATAGCTGACTGGACTAACAGATTAACCCAACTGTCTGTTGTCTGCAAGAAACACACCCAGAGTCTAAGGGTAGAAGACAACCTAAAAACAAGCTGGCATGGCTATTCTTATATCTGATAAAGTAGACATCAAACCAAAATTAGAAGAGATAAGAAGGTCACTACATACGAAGGAAGAGAACATTTCATCAAGAAGACAGAGCAATTGTAAATATATTCATATCATAGTACACAGTTTCTAACATAAACACTAAAGCACATTAAAGCTCATGCAGATCCTGATATAATAATAGTCAGTAATTTAAGTATCTCATTCTCATGTAAAGATGGACCATTAACCTAAAAGCAAACAAACAAAAACCTCTCAACCTTAAATTACAAGATAGACTAAATGGACTTAACATACAGGAATGAAATGTTTCGTCCAACATTTACAGAATATATATTCTTCCACAGCCTGAGGAACCATCTCTAACATAGGTCACAAATCAAATATAAAAGCATAAACGTGAATTCTTCTTCGTTATCAAATCATAGTGGAATAAAACTAAAACTTAATAACAAGATAAAGTATAGAAACTGTGAAAATGCATGGAGGTCAAACAACACACTCATCAATAGTTCTTAAATGCCCATTGAAGAATCCAGGTAGAAAATTTTAAAATTCTTAGAATCAGATGAAAATAAAAACACAAGTGTATCAAAAATTTCAGGACACAGGTAAGGTGTTTCTAAGAGGAGTGTCTCTAGCTATAAACGATTACACATAAAAACTAGTTATCTTAAACAAAGGATTTAATTGTGCAGTTCAAAGTCTTAGAAGAACAGCAAGGCAGTTAATCTCAACACTCAGGAGATTCTATTAGTCAGATCTGCAGAGTGAGTTCCAGGACACCGGGTTTATACAACCCCCCCCCCCAATAAAAACAACAACAACAAAGTCTTAGAAAAACAAGAACTAGCCAAACCACCAAGTAGAAGTGGTTAAAAAAAAAATCATAAAAAAATAGGACAAAAATCAGTGAAACGGAAATTTAAAAAAACATACCTACATGCCTAGAGTCAACCAAAGAGTTGGTTTTCTGGAAAAAATAAACAAGATTGGCAAACACCTGGACAAACTAACAGAGAGAGAACGAGAAAGAGAGAGAGAGAATCCTAACACTAAAAAATGAGAGCTGAAAAGGCTGAGATTTCCACAGATCCCAATGATATCCCAGTATTCACTGGGGAATACTTAGGCTATCTGTGTTCCAAACAACTGGAAGGGCTAGATGAGCTTGATAGACCCATATGACCTAGTAAATTAGCTCAAGAGGATATCAACAATTTAAATATCTATAGAACAATCAGTGAGATCAAAGATGGAATAAAAAAAAAAGTTCAGAACAAAACAGATTCATTGCTGGCTGAATTAAGTATTTAAAGAAGAACTGAATCTAATGCTCCAGAAACTTCCACAAAATAGACAAGGAAGCAACACCACCAAACTCATTCCACAAAACCAGCTGTTGACCTGTACACCAGCAGTGGGTGAAGATGAGAAAAGGGAATTTATAGACCAATGTCCCCATTGAACATGGACACAAACATTCAAGAAAACCCTTTCAAACCTAATTAAAGAGTACAACGAAAGGCTCACACACCATGACCATGGATGGCTTGACTAAACATACACAGAGTAGTATACACAGACAGAGATCCACTAGAGGGAACATACATCAACACGCTAAAGGCTGCACATGGCAAACCCACAGCCAGGCTCATACTAACAGGGGGAAACTGAAAACTTGTCTCTAAAACCTAAAACGAGGCAAGGGTATCTGCTCTTTCCTCTGCTGTTCAATCCCAAGCGTGAAGCTGTAGCTGGGGCGATATGACAAGAGAGGAAATAAAAGGATCGCAGATAGAAGGGGGGGGGGGGTCAAGCCGTCCCCATTCGCGGATCAGCACGATATTATCCTTAAAGCCTAAATAGTGTGCCCCCAAACCCTCAAGACTCTGATCCACATTTTCAGCAAAACAACGGGGTACAAAATAAACACACAGAATCCAGCAATGTTTCTATATACCAATAACAAACTTGCTGAGAAAGAAATAAGGGCTGAGAGGGGAAAGAGGTCCCATCCACAAACGCCTCATCAAAGATGAAATATCTAGGAATAAACTTAAGGACGGGCTGGTAGCCTCTAGTACCTGCTCCTCCCTCCCACCCCCGGCCTCACCACTGCATGCCTGCGCCCTCTGCTAGGCTGCTGCCAACCCAGAGCGGCCTTGTGAAGCTTACCTTAAAGCCTTCCCGCTGGTAACTCTGGACAATGCAGTCCAGCACGCCCTTGTACTTGTTTAAATAGACGCCATCAGCTTGCATCCGACTTTTCACGACATCCATCGGAGTCGCTGTCGCCCAGGAAATCGCCCCTGCAAAAGTCGGAGAAACCAAGCGTGTCAGAGCTGGCTGTCTCGGGTCTTCAAGGCCCGGCTTGATCCTCAGAAACCCCCAGGGGCTTGATCCACTTCCCCAGGGGCTGGGGAAGTGGGCCGGGAACAGGACTTCCGGCGCTCTCTCTCCACCCACTCTTGGGCCTAGCAGAATGCCCCTGCACCTCCTCTGTGAAGAGGCACCGCACCGTGCGGTGTTTATGAGTTTGTTGTGATGACACTGTGAACCCGTGGGAGCCTGGAACAGGAGCCCAGGCCACGCTCGCTCTCATGGCAACATTTATCAGAGGATAGCAACTGCTTCACAGTACTCCGCAGCCTTTCCCAAACAGGCAGAGAGAGCTCAGGATGAGGCCTGTGACCAAAGGCTTGAGGCTGCCTGCAGGCAGGGTTTAATCTGAATGTGGGGAAGCTAAACAAAACCTGTCACAAAGCCTGCTCAGCAAGGGCCAGCCTGGGACTGCCAGGAAAGATAACGCATAGCCTTTTTCTGTGTAAAAGCTTTTATAAATCTGTGGCATGAAACGGAGGGACCACAGACAAGAGGTCATGCTGGCTGGATCAGCACAAAAGTTCCAGTTTGAGCATTTGTGTGACTTTCAAGGATTCGAAAAACTGTGATAGGTTTGTTTTTGGTTTTTCCTAACACAGAAATTGGCACATTCTTGGCTGGAGAGAGACAACAATCTAATGTCAAAGTCCAGGGCAGCTGGCTTGCTAGGTTTTGTAGCAGCTGCCTAGCTGCTCTCCAAAGAGACCTCTGCATACTCTGGACCCTCTGCCCATGCAGGCCTGCAGGGCCCTAGCTTCCTGGCATGTCCGTTGGAAGCCTGTCTAGATGTCCACAGTGAGGGTGTCCTAAAATAAGGTGGGCAGGCCCTTAGCACATGCTCTCCACACTAATGAGGAAAGATGGAGACTTGGAGGTTCTTCCAGGGACCGGGTCAAAGGATGAGCCCTAGACACGCAAGGGCATAGGCAGAACACTATCCTACAGCCAACGCATGGGCTTTGTGTATGTTTGCTATGTGCTTAAAACACAGATAGTAGCTGGGCAGTGGTGGTGCACGCCTTTAATCCCAGCACTTGGTAGGGAGAGGCAGAGAGGAGGAAGAAAATGCTTGATTGGCAGCAGGGAGCCACATCAAAGAAGGTGTGGCAAATCAGGGTGACAAAATCAGCCAGTGTGGCTACCTTTGGATACCTCTGACTGCAGAGCCCCTGCCGTCCTGCTTCATGGCTTGGGGTCTGTCAGTGCAGAGCGTGGAGACCGGCTCCCCACTCTATACCTAACAAAGTCCGGTGTTCAGGAAAAGGGATTGGCGATAACAGCTGCTGGAAATCACCCATTGCCTCAAGGTCCAGCGAATTCACGTAGAGATTCTCACAGCCCTGGAGGGAAGGACATGATAGGTCCAAGGGCGGGTCCCCCTACTCAGTCTGACACAGGGTAAGTGAAATGAAAGACCCTGAATATTTGGCTGGCTGAGTCCTGTCTCCTCAGAACTGGGAAGGTTGTGGTGAGCTCCTCCTCTACACTCCACCATCACTGTGGCAGGCCCGGGACCCAGGGACAGGACTCCCACTGCTGTGGCCCTTACCTGCAATGCCACCTGCTAGCCACACTGCAAAAGGGCTGGGCCCTGTGCAGGCCTCGGGCGTGATCCATTCACTCAGGAACACATAGGGAATAAAGTAGAGGCAGTATCCTGGGATGTCCCTCAGCAGCATGGCGCTGGCTCCCCGGTACAGCCCAGCCAGGCCCTCAGTCCGCACAATGGTTACAAGGCAATGCACTGGTCCCTGATATGTTGCCTGCTCCCCTAGGGCTACTGCCCTGGACTTCAATCCATGGCTGGCTGAAAAGACAGACGGAAGATGAGGGCAAGTGACCAGGCAGGTAAGAGCCTGGCCAGCTACTGGCACCACAGCCCTTCCAGCCCATTGACAGAACCCACTCACACGGCTCATTCGCTTTACCAAGCTATCTGTCACCCTTGGCACCTTACACCAGAATTCTGAAGCTCCAATAAGGAGCCCTGGCAACCTGTACACCAGACTGGAGACAATTCAAGCCAAGTTGCCTTGAGATTCCTGGAGCCTTCTGGTCAACCATCACTATGCATTTCTAAACGGTTGTGGTTGTAGAGTGCTTGGGATCACTGAAGACAACCGAGTCAAACTCGCTCTTGATGGGGATTTGATAGTCACCCATTCTCTCTCTCTCGCTCTCTCTCTTACTCTCTCTCTTCCCCAACACAGTGTGTGTGTGTGTGTGTGTGTGTGTATGTGAGAGAGAGAGAGAGAGAGAGAGAGAGAGAGAGAGAGAGAGAGACTATACCCAGGTGGTAAAATAAATGTGATTTGAAGCCAGGCTGTCCTGATGCAAATCCTCCCCCTCCAAATGTCAGCATTTTCTGCCATTGTTTTCTGATCCTTAAAAGATGGGCAGGCTGTCATGGGTACAAGTGAGGTAACATGGCAAGTTCTCAGTGTGGTGACTGAAATGGTGCAGGGCTTGGTAAGTTAGCAGAGAAGGGCACACTGAGAGGACCTACCAGCTGGCTAGAGAACTGGCATGTTCTAGCTCATGCTAGCCCTGGCCTGGCTGTGCCCTAAAAGAGCAGCATTAGTAACCCTCAATGATTCTGTTTGCTTTTGTAACAGGCCCCAGACCTTACCATCTGGGCCATTAAACTCAGCAAGGAGACAGTACCACCTGCCAAGATGAAAACAAAGGCCTAATCCACCCAAGTCCACAGTTCTGGCAAAGTCCCTAAATGTACTCACCTTGTTTTTTGGCTTTCGTAGTTCCACTTCTAGCTAACTGTTCTTGTTAGCTGATAACTGAAGAATATCAACCCAGGGTATGGTTTTTGTGCTTAAAATCTCACCCTGAGAAAGGCTCAGGCCTACACTAGGGTCCCAAACAACCAATGCAGTCACCAGCGGCTAATATAGACCTTCTCCTCTGATGGACACACTGCAACACTTTCGGGCTCAGGGGTCTATGCTGGCTGGTTGTGGTTTTCTCCCTTTATAGTTTTTCCAGGGGGACACAGAACAGCTGAGCCTGGGTCTCTCTCCCAGCTGGTCTTCCCAGAAGCTACCCCTGCCCGACCTCCTTATCCTCATCTTCTCTGCTGAGGCTTGTGTCAGAAAGGTCTTCTGGTACAGACAAAATGACCCTCAGTGTTCCTTCTAAAGGGCCCAACTAACACGATGTGGTCAGGACGAATTACAAGACCCACCCATGACCACAACACCGTTTGAGCCACCTGGGTTCAACCCTCTGATCCAGGCATCTGCCTGGGTCTCACATGTGCTGTAGACAGGAAGTGGTCCTTCATGCTGGGAGCTCTCTCCCAAGACGCCAAACATTCCCATCTTTTTCCGATGAACACTCAGCTGTGTAGCTCCAAAAGGAGATTAGAGTAAAGGAGACGGACTTTAACTCACCCTGCAAGTCCACAGCATTGCACAAAAAAATAGGGCTGAGCGAACTCCTAAGCATGCATTTCTGTCTCTTTTGGGGGGAGGGAGGTGTGTGGAGAGTAAAGGCCACCTGGGGCTCCTTTGAGCAAGACCAGACATTATGACCTTTGCGAGGCCCCAAAAGATCATTATACATTCTTTCCCAAAACTATTGTGATATTTCCAGTGTTATCTGTGTGACTGTCTGGCTGTGTAAACACTGGCTGGGCAGCTCCTTTCTAAGCAAGGCTGGCCTGACCCAGGAGTCAGGGCTTCCCTAGATCGGCTTCTACAGTGTGGATGCCCAGAGTTACTGATTGAAAGGCCTTGCCCAGATAATGATCTGCTAGTTTGGCAGTGCAGATGTTGAAAGAAAACTTGCCAAAAGTCCAGCTAGCCCCGTCAATAACCCCTTGTATTTTTTTCCCCTTTTCTCTCCTAAGTAAGCAATAAGAAAATTCTCCCATATTATCTAAAGTTTTATACTATAAGCAATCTAGCTTTCATTGGTTCATAATTACTCATTTGTGGCTATTAAATCAGTGTCCTAGCCAGCAAAATATATAATAGACCATAATAGAAGTGAAAAATAAACATTAGGGTGCTGACACAGCTCCGTACCAACCCAAACTCATACTGTTACTACTTGTCAACTTGGCATTATGGTAACAAAATACCCGAGGCAATTATCCTCTGAAAAGGCTCATTTTGGCTCACGGTTTGGATGGGGGGTGTTCTTTCAATGACTTATTAGCTCTGTTGTTTGGGGCTTGTAGCAAGGCAGTGCATCATAGGAACATAAGACAATCTCACACATGTGTACAACATTCTTTGAGCACGCCCTGCTACCCAGCCCTCTCTCACCTCTTCCTTCCCTTTGTTCCCTCCTCAGTCTTACATCTTTCATGACATACCTACATATATGATTTTATGCACCTGTATAAAATATGAGACTCAAATAAAAGAAAAAAAAAAACATGCGATATTTTTTTCTGAAACTGCATTAATTTACTTAATAGATTATATCCATTAGCTTTCCCCTAAACTACATAACTTCATTCGTTGTAGCTGAAATAATTCTACTGTTCGCACAACCGTACTTTCTTTGTGAGCCCTACTGTTGACTCCTGGGCTGGCTCCATAGCTTAGCTGCTGCGACGGTGTTCCAGTAAACACTGATGTGCAAATATCCCCGTGGTGTGTTGATTTGGAGTGTTCTGGGCGAACACCCAGGAGTGGCACAGCTGGCTAGGTTTTAGTTTTTGAGGAGCCTCAACACTGATTTCTACAGTGGTTAGACTGCTTTATGTTTCTAAGTTCACCCTTACCCTACATCTTCTCCTGTCTTTGTTGCTGTTGTTATTGTTTTGGTTTCTGGCTCTTAGAGACAGGGTTTCTTTGTGTAGCCCTGGCTATCCTGGAACTCACTCTCAGAGCAGGCTGGCCTCAAACTCAGTTCCCCCTGCCTCTGCCTCTCATGTGCTAGAATGAAAGGTGTGCGCCACCACCACCCAGATGTTTTTTATTTTCTTAATGTTTGCCATCCCAGCTGGCGGTGGTTGAGTGAGTGTTCTTTCATACGTTTCTTGGTCGTGCATTTATTGACAAGTGTTTACTATTTCATTAGGCCATTCATTGACTGGGTTGTTTTGGCTTATTGTTATTTACTTACTTGAGCTCTTTGTATAATCTAGTGTTAACCCTCTATGAGATATCTAGCCATGAAAGATTTGCTCCCTCGGTAGTTTGTTATACAGAAACCTTTTAACGTCATGAAACTCCACTTGTCAGCATTATTCCCTGAGTGGCAGAGTCCTATTCAGAAAGCCTTTGACAGGCCAGTGAGATGACTCAGTGAGTAAAGATGCTTGCTGCCTACCGTGATGACCCAAGTTGATCTCCCGGGACCCACAAATGAAAAGCTGCTCTCACAAATTGTCCTCTGACCTTCACATGTGTGGCAGGACGTGTGTCTCCTCCAATGCTAAATAAATAAATATAATTTAACGATCAGAAACTCGTTGCCGATGCTTATATCTTGAAGCATTTCCTCTTATTTTTCCTCTAATGCTTTCAGGGGTTCAGATAATACATTCAGGTCTTTCAATCCATTTGGAGCTGATTTTCATACAGGGTGAGAGTAAGAACTTGGTTTAATTCTCCTAAATGTGGCTATCCACTTTTGCTAGCATCATATGCTGAAGAGGATGTCTTTTTTTCCAATATATATATTTTGGTATCTTTGTAAAAAATCAATTGTCCATAGTTGTGAGAGTTTATAGCTGAGTCCTCTGTTCTGTCCTATCCTATCCTATCCTGTCCTTTCTGTCCTGTCCTGACATATCCTATGGTCTTTGTGTTTGTTTTTGTTCTTATGACTCTATAGTACCACCAACATTTCTTTTTGCCTAAGATTATTTTTGCTTTCTGGAATCTTGCGCTTCCATGGGTATTTTAAGATTGTTTTGTTTCTATTTCTGTGAAGAATGACACTGGACTTTTTATGGGGTTGCCTTTATATATGAATTGGTGCTCTCTTAGCTTTCAGTACTTTCTTTACTCTCTTGTTTAGTGGTGTAACTATAAGTGATGTCAGTAAGTTCTTTTCTGGTCTCCTCTGGTATTCTAAATGCTTCCTGGTTCTAGATGGGCGTGTGCATCTCTAGATTTGTGGACGTTTGTGCTAGGATTTTGTTGGATAGATCGTATATGCCTTTAGATTGAAGTTCTGACACATATGACTTTTAAGTTGGATCTTTTAATAGTGTCCAACAGATGTTGTGTGTTTTGGTCATATTTTATTACTTTGTCTTTGTCAGTGTCTGAATGTTCTAACATTTGTTTTCTATCTCTAAAAGTTTGTATTCGATTGGATCCATTCTGTTAGAGGGACTTTGTAAAGAAGTTTTTTTTTTTTCTTTGACTTACTAGAGCCTCCATTTCTTACATTTCAATTTGATTTCTATTCATTATTTCTATCTCTTTATTGAGGTCCTATGTCAAATCCTGTTTGACTCTCTTTTTTCATTTATTTATTTGGATCCCGTTTCAACTCATTTGCTAGTTTCTTTGTATCCTTCAATTTCATTAATCATGCTTACAATCCTTTTGAATTCTTTGTCTGGGGTTTAATGAAATACTGTCTCATTGAGATCCATTGCTACCTTGATTTTTCAAGTTTCTTACATAGTCTCTGCTGGAACTTATGCATCCGGGCTTGAGTGTTGGTTGGGTTTTATCAGCTGTATTATTTCTGTTGAATATTCTGCAATGTTCAAAGTGGTGCTGGATTATGGTGGGGTGAGTGTGTAGTTTAGCAGTTTAACTCACAATCCATGTGCATAGGCACAAGGTCTGATTCCCTTTAATACTCCAAGAACATGCA